GGTTGATGTATATCAATTGCTATTTAGATGTCTATATATTAAAAACTTTATTTAGCGCTCCCCTTTCCCCCTACCTTTACCAAGAACATCCCTACGTCCGTAGCCAAGATTCACGCATTGTCGGCTCGAATTTCGTCCAAGTCACCACCCGCCCAAAAGACCGGTAAGAAAAAAAAAGTTATCAAATGAATTACCAAAGCTTTTAGATTCCTCGAGAAAATCGACCGAACCCTGGCCGAAGTGCGTGCGATGCCCAGATTTGGCTAATATTTTTTTGCCTTGTATTCTAGATGCAAATAAACTCTTGAATCACCTACCATGACCTCGCATGCTGATATTGTTATAAGGAGTAAAGCACTGAGGAGTCGGAGTAACATCTGCAAAAAAAAACATAGAATACGGTACCCTTAATAAAGTTTAATTCGATAAAAACGCAAAAAAATATGCGTAATAATAAATAAAGTCCTGAATGTTATAATATTTTTGGACACTATTAAAAAATACATATCCGAATTCAAAACTTTGTAGTTTAATAAAGCCCATCTACCCATAGTAAATAGACTACACTTGTTGATGCGGTTTTATTTGAGTGGACAAGATAGTGGATGGGGTGGATCTGAAGGCCATCGGAAGGAGAAAAAGAAGCAGAGGTTACCCCCAGGGGATCTCCAGCTAGTTCGACCTCCTCCTAGTACCACAACCCTCTCCGAGTACTCGAATCGGGTTCTTCTTTTGGATTGAGCCCCTCTGGCCGTTTGCGTCGCCCCACAAATCATCATATTATGGGTGCTGGCTTGGGTGGCTGGGTTGGAAAGTTGGGTTCAAACTTCTAGTTGCTAGGACATCCGTACGTATTTTAAAAAATCATCTTTTTAGAATCTTTTCGGCCATAATTTTCATTATATATTTTTTGGAAAATCAGAACTCCGAGGAGTTTGCATGCAGTTACCCAACTGGAATTGAACTTTTCACCGAATTCGGATGAATATGGTAATACATTACGCAATGCAAATGGCCTTACTGCAAAATGTCGAAAAATTCCGACGGTCATGAAATATGTCGAAAAACGTCGACATTACATAATGTCGAATTTCGAAAACTCATAATTTCGAAATTTACTTAAGCAAATTTCCTGGAGAAACCGCGTAATCCTATCCCAAAAAATGTAAGTAATGTGATGCTTTGCCAGTCACTTTTTACGTAAGCAACTTCAAAACTATAAAATTATAGCAAATCTCACCTCAATCAATACCCCCCAAAAACTTTCGAAACCCAAACAACCACCGAAAATGCCTTATGCGCATTCTGTTGAGGGGGGGGGGGGAGTGCCGGGGAAATTGGTCCAATTTGGGCGGCCATTCCGCCAGAATGGCTTACGACACTGCAACTCAGTTTAAATGCACAGGAGAGGGTGGGGGGGCAGAGATTTGTTGACCGGATAAATCTAAGGGAATTGTAGGCAAAAATCATTGGTTATATAGCGAGAGGATGTAGTGGGCGTTCCAGATTGTAAGGTTTCGCTTGTTCCGCCCAAGCAGGATCTGGGGTTAAGGGTTTCTTTAATCTCAAACTGTCTACGGGCTTCTGGGATTAAAAATTATAAAGTGGCAGTCTTAAAAATGGTATCGAGAAACTTGCAGATTTGCAAAGATTCATGGAGATAGGTTCAGAAATTATATTACCCGATAACGAAAGTGAAAAGCTTGTAACCATTCAACCATCGGAAAGAGCATCGATAAGTCTACGCTACATTAACTGGATTTAAAACTGTTATTTTATCATAGCAAAAAAATTTATTAATTAAAATCTTTGTAAATTAAGCTTTGTGAGCTGCCATTAAATCTCTCTGGGTCATTTATGAATCTATAAAATTTAGTTCCTTAAAACACTCCTCCAGCCAAAAATCTTAGCCTTAACAACCAATCTGAACTATAATGGAATGGAAATTGGAAAAAATATGGAAAAAATGGAACTTAGTTAAAATTACAAAATTAAATGCATCAAATATCTCTACCAAAAAACCGCCGCGTGGCATTTAAAAACATTGTAACCAAATCCAAATCCTGTTTGTGGCCGGGGCGTAGGCAAAAAGGCGATTCGACGACCGGAGCGAGGGATCGACCCGGATTAGGCCAACCGGACGACATGGCCCCTCACCCCCCATCCACGGCGGCTCGCCAAAATTGCAATTTCTCAGGGCCGAAGCCCGGCGGGTCGCCGGGTATTTTTGGGGGAATTCTGGGTCTTCTGGACCGGGGGACCAGTGGGCCATTGCACGGGCCATTCCAACCCCCAATTCCACTACACTACTATCTTCGAGCGTCACTCTTTTCCCATTCGAAACATCCTTATCCAATTCCAGGGGAAAGGGGGTGGGTTGGTTTGGGCTCACTTACCTGCTATTTGGCTGGTGGGGAGGGTGCACAATTTTCTATGCATGTGCCTTTTAGGGTGAATGAGATGGATAAATTGGGCAACGTTAATGATGGGGGAGGCAGAAGTTTTTTGAGCTATACGGCTCGATGCAATTCGAGATCCTTTTCTATGAAAATCTCTGCTCCGAAAACATTTTTTCAAGGTTATATTCTCGAAAACCATATTTTCTAAAAAGAGGAAAGATAGGCAAACGTGGAATGCAAAATTTTGGAAGTTTTCAGACAACCCGAAGCTCGTTAACACAGCAAGAATTTAACGTTTATTAGCAAATTCTCGGCCCGAGGGCCGGATAATGCGGCAGTAAAACAATCTCGAAAGAATACATGAAATGACGCGCAGGTCATTTAAATTAGGGGCTTTACAACATTTTCAGGGAGAAATTGTGGGAATCTATTGATCACAAATGGATGGGAGATTCGGGAGGGGGCACGAAAAATTTACATTTTAAAAGATAACTAGCAAATGGATATCGCTTCATTTATGCTTGGTATTGGCGGTGGGCGGTGATGTGCTCGACGTAGGCATCTCTTGACCACTTCAGCGCATCGGCGACCATCAGCTTCTTCATCAGCGCGGCGTACTTGACGGAGACGGCGAGTCGGCGCAGCACGTTGTCGTTTTCTTGGTCCCATCCGCCGAGTGGCCCGACGATGAAGGCGTCCAGGAACGTGTCGTAGCCATCCGCGTTGAACTTGTTGAAGATGTCGGCGTACTTGCGGAGCTTCTCGGCACGTGCGGCAGCGAAGACGCTCAGGTCCTGGTTCTCGAACGGCATGGTCACGTCCACGATCGTCACACGCTTCTTCACATGGTCGACGAGGGCGAGATCGGGACGTAGTTGACCATCGGTGCCGGGGATCTTGACATTGACGTACTTCGTGGTAGTCGCGGGCAGCTTGATGGCGTTGACGAGGCGGTCGAGGACGGCGTTGTGGCGAAGGGTGATGGCGTGGGCGTGAGCAGGGCAATGACACAGGACGTGGGCGACACTCTCGAGTTGGTAGCCACATCTTCGGCAGCGCTTGTCTTTCTGATCACGGGCACGGTTGCAGCCATTTAGTGGAACGACGTCGAGTCTTGCACGGTGAACGAAGCGCCAGTCCGCAAAGCGGATATAGCGTCCGTCACGCAGGAAGTAGTTGGAGACGGGCTGGTGGGCGGTGATGTTGTAGACCTTGCCCTGGCTCTTCTTGGCGGTGAGGTGAACGAGCTGAGCTTGATGGACGGCGCGCTTGAGCATCCTTTCACACGTCTTCTTGGTGACGCCACACCCGAGCACGAGCAGTTGGATCTTGTCGTTGGCCCACGTCCACTTCACATCGAGCTTGTCGGTCTTGACGAGGTGGCCGGTCGCTTGTCGCACTCTTGTCCACATGTTGCGGGTGTCGGCGTAGTACGTCTCGAAGGCGCCGTCGAGCTTCTGGTTCAGGTAGTCGGCCACTTCGGAGTCGGTTGGCGCACGCTTGATCTTCTTCTGTACAGCCGTACGGAGCAGCTGAGCAGTCATTGGGCCGAGATCAGTCGACTCCAACAACTGGACAGCATGCACCAGCTGCATCACATCGGCGAGGGTCTTGGTCTGGATGAGGCCGAGGCCTCCCATGTTGTGCGGCAGGTAGACGACTTCGGGGCTAGCTTGACTCGGGAGGCTCAACCACGACTTGGCGAACTTCTTCAACTTCTTGTCGAACGGGATGAGGTGCTTCTTCTTCTCGACGTGGCCGTTCTTCAGATGGAAGGCGATGCAAGGCAGGATGAAGGTGTTGACGGCGTCCGCTTTCTGCCAGGGGGCGAGTAGAGAGGAGTGGATTTTGTCGAGGCACTGGTGCATCTTCGCGATGGTCTTGTCTGCAGAAGAGCCTTGGTAGTAGCCGGTGGGCACGCCGAGATGTTCGTAGTGGTCGTTGGAGTCGAGCGTCACCATCCTGGATCCTTGAACCTTGTACTCGATCGGCATGGTGGTGTGCTTGTTGGAGTTGATGACGAGGCTGGCACACTTTTTGCTGTTGAACACGAGACCGAGCCATGTAGAGACTTCGGACACGGTCTTGATCGATCGACCCGGATTAGGCCAACCGGACGACATGGCCCCTCACCCCCCATCCACGGCGGCTCGCCAAAATTGCAATTTCTCAGGGCCGAAGCCCGGCGGGTCGCCGGGTATTTTTGGGGGAATTCTGGGTCTTCTGGACCGGGGGACCAGTGGGCCATTGCACGGGCCATTCCAACCCCCAATTCCACTACACTACTATCTTCGAGCGTCACTCTTTTCCCATTCGAAACATCCTTATCCAATTCCAGGGGAAAGGGGGTGGGTTGGTTTGGGCTCACTTACCTGCTATTTGGCTGGTGGGGAGGGTGCACAATTTTCTATGCATGTGCCTTTTAGGGTGAATGAGATGGATAAATTGGGCAACGTTAATGATGGGGGAGGCAGAAGTTTTTTGAGCTATACGGCTCGATGCAATTCGAGATCCTTTTCTATGAAAATCTCTGCTCCGAAAACATTTTTTCAAGGTTATATTCTCGAAAACCATATTTTCTAAAAAGAGGAAAGATAGGCAAACGTGGAATGCAAAATTTTGGAAGTTTTCAGACAACCCGAAGCTCGTTAACACAGCAAGAATTTCCTACAATATGCACATACCTACACGACCTTAAAAACATCTATAACCAGATCGGATTATCCCCCAAGAACTATAAGCCGATCCTTTCCCATTTTTCCAACTAAATAATCCGCCAGATTACAACAAGAATGGGTAGCTAAAGCAATAAATAAAAATCTATAGAATCCCCTAAAGGAATGGTCAATCGATGGGCTGTTTCAA